ATTTGCATCTGCAAAGCATCAGTTAATAAAACATAATGAGTTAATCAGACTTATTTTTCTGAGGGCAAAATGGAATCATGCTTCATAATCTTTTGTGTTGTCCTTAGGCTCTGACAGACTCTCCAGAAACTAATTCTTCCTAACTACTTGCACACCCAATAGCACATCAGTGTCCTGGAAATTTTCTAAACGTTGTTCCAACTTTAATAAGAAATAGTTGTAGTAAAGCTGCTTTACAGGAGCTTTTGCTCTATATTAAGGAGTCAAATAATAACAACAAATTGAAGGGGACACCAAGCTTGACCCAGGAAGGAGAAAATATTCTGCATCCTATTTTTGAAACCAAGAGGAAAACCACTTGGCTATTTAGCAAGGCTTCTGCCAGTAAACCACTATGTCTCCCAGATTCCTAACGCTAAACAGCAAGAGCAAACGTTCTCTGGTGACCTCTGCAGATTCAGCAATTCTGTATTTTTTTAAAATGTATACAAAAAAGCAGCTGTTGCTGGACATAATTTCTAGGTATTGTCATTAATTTATTTTTAATCCCATGGAGAAATAATTTATACTGTCTTGGTTGCTAGATATTTGAGATATTGTGGTCACATTTTTGGTGTCTTTGGTACATTTTATTGTAACGTTCTCATGACACTGCAGTCAATTACTACATCTCATGCTGTTTTACTTGCTGCAAAGTATCATCCAAGCATTTTCTAGCAAGTCCTTGTGGGTAACTACGCCCTGTTCAAGAAACACATGTATGTCCATGTACTGATAGGTATGAGATCAGTGTCAACTTAGCCATTTGGATTAATGCCCTTTTGGTTTGGCTTCTGTGGTCTCAAGCCTCTTAGCTCAAGCTGTGATAGAGTTTTTAATAAATTACATTTTTTAAATTAAACTGAGTACAGTTGGAATACAAATGCTTATCTGATATCCATCTTCGTCTCCCTGCAGTGTTAAAACTCCCAGATATTCACTCCTCTCTCACTTTTCCAGACCTCATTATCACTTATTCAGCCCCACAGTTGTGCCAGTGCCCTCGCCAGGTCTTCCCTCCATTGCTGGTGCTCCCGTTGTGCTTGTGGGGGGATGTGGGAAGGACAGTCCCAGCGGGAAGCACAAACCAAACCAGCTACACAACGGCAAAAGCAATGAAAGAAACATCTTGCTGGGGAAACAACTGAAATAATGGCTTGTGGCCAGGACTTGGAAAGAGCAGAAGATAATAGCGATGGATTAAAGAAGGAAAAGAGCTGGAAATAAAGCTTGGTAGATCTCAGCCTACCAGATCATTAAAGGTGGTTGAGTGAGCTCAACTGCAAACCCTAAGGGTGATGGAAGGGACCAGCCTTAGAGGAGAAAGGGGACTATAACCCAGAGGTAAGAAGCCAAAAAGATGATGAAGTGAAATAAAAAGGCTGCAGAGCCATCATCCAGGAATCTGTGGAAAGGCTATGCCTTTCAGTCACAGTGACAACAGGTGGGATTTTCCCGTTCGAGTTGCATCTCTATAATTGTGTGAGAACACCCACGTGGGGGAGCTTGCCCTAACACAGTGGAAGCTATAACTAACATGCAAGAAAATTAATCCGCATCATTGCTAATCTGATCTTTTTCATTTATGAATTTATTCACTGTATTGTATTTATTTAGAGATGACATATCAAGAACAATTGCCCAGTGAGACTACAGTACTAAGCTGTTAGCTGTTCCTAAAAGTGATTTCTCTAAATCAAGTTTTGCAACAAAATTGATGGCAGACAGTATATAATACTGAGCCTCCAAAAAGTGGCCTAGTCCAATGTGCACTGTATGGTCCTATTTCTGAGCATATTTTTCCCTTGTGAAAATGCTGGAGATACTTTCTGATTCTCTGTCAAACTGGGAAAACATTAACAGTTTGCAGAAAGGGGAAAACAGGAGCGGTGGTGAAGAACAGTGAAGACATTGAAATCTCACCAATTTAGCACATCAGTGCTTCTCATTCTCTGGTGATCCAAGGTAGTAAAGGGAATAAGAAAAGAATAAATAATATTCCTCAGAAAGACATAAAAATGTCTTGCTAAAATCCACATTTGCCCTGTCAGTCCCTCCAGCAAGCCGTATCAGCTTGCTTTGCTCATGTGAGTATTTTCATTAATTTGATCTGGAACTTTGCCTGGCAAAGGAATGTTGGATGTTCCCACTCTGGGCCAAAGCACTGTAACTACCAGCTGAAGTATGTCAACACTCTAGATAAGACATGAACTATTGTATCTGTTGATTTATTGCTGATTAAAGACTCCCAAGTTGGTTCTAGTCCCGAGAATTAACATAATTGAAAATGTTACATTAACATATTAGAGAAACATACTGAAAGTGCATTGTTCTACAAAGCTAAATAAGCAAATAGCTTTCGGGCTGATGGTACTTTCACCAGTTTTGGTGACAATTCTCTGATTGCCACTACACGTAACTGTAGAGAGTTGAACGCACAACTCGGAGCTGTCACAACAGCAAAATTCTATTCACTTTCCCTTAGGCTGCATATCCCTGGTCCTTACTAAGACTATTTCCTAGCTGTAAATAAGACATTCACCTCACCATTTAATGTTACCAAGATATGGAAGGTACTGATACTTTTGACACATTATAAATTCCACTAATGAAACGGATTGTTTTAGAAAGAAAAGCATTGACCTGTTCTATTAGCAAATGGCATACAAAACTTCAGAACAAAGTTCCATAATCTAAACAAAATAAGTATTAACCAAATAAGAGAGTACTTTAAAGAAAATTATGAAAAAATAATTTCTTAATTGCTTGAGATCTGTGACCCACTGTTGAAAAATGCAGTGGCTCACCAACTCTGCCACTGGAAGCATCACCAAAGATAAAGCGTTATCACAAAATTTTCTTCTCTCTTTTTCTTCTCTTCTTTTTATTGCAATTCTGTGTTGACTGTGTTGCTTCAGGCAGATAGCTGAAAGTAGCATCTACAATCATTGGTAGCAAATTTTAGTCATTTTTAGAGACTATGTCTGCATGAGACCGCGCAGCAGTCTGAGATGCTGGGGACAGAGTCCCAGGGAGAGAGGGCAAGATCAGCACTGACAGTCCATGACAGGAGCTCGGGCTTTGCTCCCTGGGAGCCAAAGTCACTGATTCTCATGGGGTCTTTGCTTGTGTTACATCTTAACGTGCATGCCATCTCTCCTACCATTATCAATGCTTACAGAGTTGTCTAACCCTAACTTGAAGTGTACCTTGTGAGTTCACACCAGCAAACAAAACAGCTTGCCAAGTGAGTGGCAAATAGTGTAAATCCAACCAGTGGGCAGTGCAACTTGTTTCCCAGGAACTGGGTGAATTATAATCAATCATTCTCAACATTGCACTAAATACACATTGAAGTGCTAAGGCTGTTGCACATAGGGAAAGGTGACAAGACTTCCTCAAAAGGCAAAAATTACATATAATTTTTGAGGCTGTATATTGCAGCTTTACAAGTACCCGCAAGTACTAAAGTACAAAGTACTTTGCAAGTACTCTACAAGTACAAAACATATAAAAAAGCGTATCATGCGGCAGTATTTCCTAAAGGTGATTTAACAGTAATTATTGCAATGTGTACTAGGAAAAAATGCAGTACTTTAGTAATATGAAACTTCAGCACAAAATCTGTTACTAAACTTTGCTCAGAGGTAAGGAGAGGCGACCAAATTCTGGGTAAATTATAACACAATTGAGTGGCTAGGGGAAGAAAACTTGGAGGAGTTTAAAAACAAACTTCTCACACGCAAAACCCCAAACTACCACTACTGTTATTATGCCTGCACACAATACCAAAGGATAATATTCAATTATTAGGAAGCTGATGTGAAACACTTCAGTGAATTCAGTGGATTGCTTGAATTTGCAGCTTCTCTGCTGTTTTAAGGAAAATGTAGGCAAGATACAGACCCTTCAGGCGCTGAGTGTTTTGCCTTTTTAGTGCTTAATGTTGGCTGTTCCCTTGCTGCTACACTGTTTGTTCTTTATGAAAAGCAGCTGTATTTGGAGGTACTAATAATACCCAATACTATCAAATCTGTATTTTCTGAAGAAGTCTACCTCCTTCAACATAACAATGTGCAACATACCATCCAAGTTGAGACTCGATAGGGAAGTAGAGATCTGATGGCTTAACGTGCTGCTTTATAGTTTACCACAAAGGTAGCTGGAGGAACATAATTTTCTATCAGACTTTCAACTTTCCAAGCAGAGTAGAGAGGAAAGAGGACTGCATAAGTAAGTCAGGATCTTTTTTCATTGAGTTTCTATAACCTTTTCTTTCTTTCTTAGACTCAAACTTCATGTTCAGGGCTATTAGTCCCTGCTTAATTCAGCTGGACATAACCAAACAAACTTGCACAACCACTGGAGTATATTCTGGACAACAAACCTAGAATTTATTTTCTGTCATGTTCAACAAATGAATTTGCCTTAAACAGCATGCTTTTATGTTCTCACCATGGAGAAAGATATCAGAGCTCAACTTGCTAGGCATGGGTTTTAAAACCAGTCTTTTTCACTGCTGTAAACTGTTTCCACTTCATTTTCAAATTTCCCTCACCTATTCAAATTCAATTCACTTACTGTTTAAGAGTTCACGAAAAACTTTTTCCTTTACTTTTAGCAGCCCTTTGAAGGAGTGAGAGAAAGAAATGCTGAAGAATCATTTTTTTTTAATTATTCTTCCTGCCATGAGTTTTTAATCCTACAGAGAATGAAAGGTTTAAAACCTTCCAACTCCCACTTGCAAAGTTCTTAACACCAATTACAAGATGCTACTGTCCCAGACAACCCGGATGAAGTACATTAATTAACACAGTATAGCTTTGAAAACAACATGAGTGGAAGACTAGCAATTGTTTGCATATAACATACAGAATGGATAGATAACTCGAGCAATGAAGTGATGTCCTACCTCTCCTTGACGATGATAGTGCTTGGGAGGTTTTCCCATCTGCTCTAGCATTTTGCCCTTCTTACTGCTAGCAAGCGTCAGTCCCTGGTGAATGCCTGCAGATCTGTTGGTTGCCTGAGTTGGAGCCTCCCCCATCAGGGTGGACTTGATGGAGTTCACCTTGGAGCTGGAGCTGTCTAGCTGGGAGCTCTCCACGATCAGGACCGCGGCTAGTAAGAGGAGACAGCAGGAGCACTTATTCCACATCAGCACGATCATCTCCCCTCCCCCCAAAAGGATTTTCTTTCTTTTTTTTTTTTTCTTTTTTTAAGGAAAAGAAAACAAAAGAGATAAAACCCAAAAGTTTTGAAAAAAAAATCCCAGAGTTGTTAACAAAGCAATGAACTTCAACGCCACACACTCAAGAACTGCTTTTGAGAGACAGAGGAGAAAAACGATTTTAAAAGAATCCCTTAGGAAAAAAATCGTGTCAAGTCTATAGGCAGTGAGGAACTATCGGGTCTGTGAAGTGACGGCTTTTTCCTCCAGGTCCCCGAGAAGTCCAGGCAATTCTTTAGTAACTGAGAGCAATAAGCTGGGAAGGAACGGGGCGCAGGGCAGCTCCCCGCCAGCGCAGGCACCCGCGCGTTTGCTTCAGCTTCAGAGGAAGAGTGAGCGAGTTGCTTCCCCCCACTCCTCCTCTCTTGCTGCAGAAGCCAGCAGAGAGGAAACTCAAACCAGATCCAATCCAAGCAGCACCGGCAAAAGCTGGGCTTAGGGGTTTATTTCAATCTCTCTCCCCCCTCTTTACTTTTTATTCCCCTCCTCCTTTTTCTGTCTTCTGCCTCAGCCTCTGCAGCGAGCAATAGTGAAAGCGCCCGGTCGTCTCCTCCTCCTCCTCTTCCTCCTCCT